TGCAACCTCCCCTGCCAGCTTCCCACAAGCAAAGTCAATGGGGAAGCTGGCAGGGAAGGTTGCAAGTTACTCTGGTAAGTAGTTTGCACTCCTGCAGCTTTTCCCCTGGAGGAGCCCAGTTATGGAGTACAAGATACTCCGTAGTGTGTGTGCCCACAGCAACCCCCCATAGTGGCCACCTGCACACCCTCCCCCACCTGGCAGCAGCCGCTGTTGGCCCCACCATGCTCATGCCATGCTGTACCAGCCACCTGTGCATTTGGCAGCAGTCATGCCACGCCAGCCCCTCACACACCCTACCCCACCTGATAGTAGCCATGCCCTGCCATGCTCACACCAGTCACCCACACATCCTCATACAGTCTTGTGCACCCAGCAGCAGCCACCCCCAACCCCACTGCACTTGTGCCACGCCTCAACAGCCATCCATGTATCCTCCCCCACTTTGCAACAGCCACTCCTGGCCCTGCTGTGCTTGTGCTGTACCAGCTACCTGCCCTCATGCACCCTCCTCCACCCAGCAGCAGCTGACCCCACCACATTTGCACTGTACCTCAACAGCCACCCGTGCACCCTTCCCCACCGAGTAGTAGGCATTTACCTGCCCGCTGACCTGCTTGTGTGCCGTCTAGGACTTGTGACTTCCTCACAACTTCCCCATGGACTTTGCTTGTTGGAAGCTGGCAGGAAGTTGCAAGGAGGTCCTCACTTAACAATCCATGATCCTTGCTTAATGACAACCATAGGGAGTGCCACGGTTGCTGTTGCTAAGTGATGTGGTCAGAGACATCACACTTTACAACTGCATCACTTAGCAATGGAAATTCCAGTACCAATTACCGTCATTAAGCACAGACTACCTTGTAATTATCAAAACTCCAAAAGATTTTCTTTGTTTTGTCCAGCATAAAACATCTTCCATAGATTGAAGCAAATTAAACATAAATAGATCACAGGAAATATTTCTGTCAATAGTTTCTTAGCTCCCCATAAGTAAAATTATTTTGTTTTTTCTTTATTTAGATGCAAAAGCTGTATCGGAAGTATTTGAGAGCTGAGAGTTTTAGGAAAGCCCTGGTTTATCAGAAAAAATACCTTCTTCTGCTTCTGGGTGGATTTCAAGAATGTGAGCAAGCAACATTGTCCCTAATAGCACGCATGGGCATTTATCCTTCTCCTCCTGATCTGAGTGTTTCTGAATCACGAAGCCATTTTTTTACCAAGTTCAGATCTGCAGTCCGAGTAGTCATTGCAATATTAAGGTAATTAATCTATAGCACTTTGAAGAAAGCACTGAAGGGTTTACGTCAATTATTTCCTATTGTTGGTTTCCATAAGAGACTATGTCTGGTGAATAAAAGTTCCTTTAAGTCCAGTTGAAATAATGGGATTTAAAAGGTTAAGCAACCATTAACGCTTTAGTCCGTTTGTTTGTGTGTTCCCTTCCCTTCCCTTCCTTCCTTCCTTCCTTCCTTCCTTCCTTCCAGCAAGTTTAAGAAAGCAATACATTATGGTTAGACAGCACTTGTACTAAACTTTGATACTCAATATTTAGTATAGAAATATTATCTTGTGTGTTGTTTTAATTTGCTCATTAATGTCTGTCTTTTTCTATCTCCCAAGGTTGAAGTTTCTGGTGAGAAAATGGCATAAAGTAAATAAGAAAGAAATGCTGCCGGAAGCCATTTCTTCTAGCCTTGGACACAACTCCTGTGAGAGCTTTTTCTGATGAATCCTCTAGATCTTATGCAGTTCTTTAGTAAATCATCTCTATTAAGTAAACTGAAAAGTAATGTAATGATATATCTATATGATTCTGTTTTGCTACTATTGAACAAGCAAAATAAGATTTTATTATGCTGCAGAAATCATAAAAGCATAATTACTAACAGAACATACTCTTACTTTTCATAGTTGTTTAAATTTTAAAAAACCAGTTCTGGAAATGATATGAGATGGAGGCTGTTAGAGAGCAATGGAGAGATTCAGTGGATGGCTTAGCTGCCTTAAGTTGGTGGTTTTTTATACAGCATGATTATATCCGTATGAAGATCTTGTTTGGGGAGATGTGTTACTTGCCTATAACAAATAAATACATTGCATTTCTTTTCTATGTACATTTTGATAAAATAATTGGAATATTTGCTCCAATTATAGTTTTGATTCAGTTTTACTAACTTGATTTGGATAATATGAAAAGAGCAAATGACTGTTGCAGGCAAATTGGTATCTGTATGCCAATGTATGCTATGTTCTCAACATTTACTGTCAAGTGGACACTCACTGACAATATTAAAATCTTAAAGCTACTGTTTATTTTTCTACATAAAAACACTCTAAATTAATATATATCTTAATTCAGAGGTTTTCAGACACCTCATAATAAAATTAATGTCATTGAGGTTTTTTATGTATATATCAAATAAAACAATGATTGAATCTTTTAGTTTCATATATGACATTTTTACTGGACATAATTACACCGTCACATTTCAACTAATATTTTAGTGGGAAATATGAAGTTGCTTAGTTCTGAACAGTTCTTAAAATCTGTGTATGGTGTTAACATAGCAACTCTCCCTTTTTATTGCATGTTTATTTTTGGATTGATATTTGATCCTTATAAAACCAGCTATAGAAAACCATGAATTTGGTATTGGCTTTTCCAGGCAGAATGGGAATGAGTTCTGTCAACATTACTGCTTTGTGTGCTCAAGTAATATCTATATCTATATCTATATGATCCCCTTAAATTTGCTTATTGCTGCCCTTTTGGGATAGCAGTTCACAGTTTGAGAATTCCTGAGTTAAATTGTGTTTCCAATAAATTCTAAGCATTACTAAGTAAATGTTCATAACCAGATTTTTTTTTTAAGTGTTGGTAAAGTCAGCTTTGTATGTTCTTATACTTTCTGATAGTTTAATAGATGATTATATGGTAGAGTCTAATGGACTTATTGATATGACTCCCAAATTTAATAATTTTACTTGGTCATATTTTTTTTCAGAATACATAGTTTTTATTGCACAGTAGAATTTACTTTATTAATCATGCTTCTTTTTTTTCTTCATTTGCGGGGAAATGACTATAACCTGAGATTCTCACAGTACAGATTAAAATGAAACACTTTATATTGTTTAAAACAGATCCCATAGCTAGTATAGAAGTACTAAAGCAACAACAGCCCTTCCCAGGTTATGCTACTGAAGAAGGTGAATACAGAAATAATCACACAAGACTTGCAAACTGCACACCTAAATCCTTACACCATTTACATAACAGGTTAGTGCAGAACTTACTTTGTTGTATTGTGTCTTCTGCAGGATTATTTTTACTAACAATATTGTATTATAAAACATGTTTATATTATGCTTCAATAGACTCATGTTCAGCTCTATGTGTTAACAAAACGTGTGTTTATCTATACCAAAAATATTTTAGCTACTTCATTTTACAATTATTATTCTAATTTCCATTTTCATCAACAGTATAGCTTCAACGGTATAATTACAAGTACTTGTTGATATGAATACAGTACGAATAAAGTTTCCTGTCAAACTTGGTGTACCACAGAAATTAAGAAAATGAATCTTCTCTTTGAATATTTGTAGTTGCTATGAATTTGATTGGCCTTAGTCAAGCCATGTCTGTCCTATCGCATATTACCTATCTTATAGGTCGAATCCCTTTTTTACAGTTCCTAGAATTCCCTCCAATCATGCAACTGTTGAAAATTAGCATGGTTTCCAACCATGTTGATTTAGAATGTACATGAAAATAATGGCAATAATGAAATAGTTTTAACATAGTTTTAGAAATGCACATATACCTTCAGTCCCACAGAAATATAGAAAAGCTTGCCTGAACCATGCTACTACAAGGATCTATCCAGTTAACATCATTATCCCATTCATTGCACCCCTCAGCCTCATCATCAGTATTAAATGTGGTAGATGTTCATTCAATCATAGCTTATCCCTGGTGGAAGGATTAGGAAAAGATAAAATATGTAATCAGCTCTGCTCTTTAAAAAAATTACAAATAATTAAGCTTAGAAAACTATTCTTGTTCTTCTATGAATTGGTTTATTGCTGAGTCTTGGTGAAATTTCCCTTTCAAAAATAAAAAACCTATTTATTTAAATATTTAGCAGGAGGTGTCTACATTTTTCATATATTTAAACATACTATTTTATTTTTTGTAGTTTTTTTAAACATAATGATAGTATAATTAGAGGTAAAAAATACAGTATCATTATCCACTTTAGCTAGCCAGCTGAAGCAATAAATGCTTCTATTAGTGTACTTTCATAAATAATTACTATTATGTCTTATAACCTTAATACATGCTTTACTCTGTGCTCAGGCATGGTTGGCATAGTTTCTTTCTTATCTGCAGCAAAAGAGTATCTTCAGTTTAATACATGGGAAGCAATCTATTATATACAGTGTGTTTCATCCACAGATGTATTTGAAGTTCTCAGAATTTATATTGAGTCTAGTTTATTTAGATGCTGATATAAAAAGTTACTATTACAAACTGATAGTTTTCCTACTTATGCCATATGTTTCCTTATATTGTGCCATATAATTTCTTGATTACTTGAAATTATGATTTGGATTACAGCTTTAGCTGATAGTATCATAGATTTTGAGGGGGCATTACAAGCCATCTAATCTAACTATATAATCAGTGTCTGAAATCCTGAGGAAGCATAATGTAATCTCAACCAATGGCTGTCTAATCCCTGCCTGAAAATTTACAGCAATGGTGATACCTTAATATACTACTGTTTCTTTATACTTGCATTAATCCATTAAATCACTGTTTTGTTATATGGAAATTATTATCTTATATATATAGTTATATATAATTAATTTTTAACTCAATAATGAATGAGCTTCAGGAATGTAAAGAACTTCCTTTGTTATGGAAAGAGGATTCTGATTTATAAAGAAGGAAATGACTTACTTTGAACATAGATTATAAGATTTTTATGGCAATATTTGTGAAGATAATAATTTTTTTTTTTAACTGAAATGACACACCCTGATCAGACTGGATTTGTTCTGAAGAGATACATGAGAAGTAACATCATATATATTTTGAATGTTATCAAAAGATAAATCAGAAAAACAAAAAAAGGGGCTATGATTTTTCTTGATACAGAGAAAACTTTTGACAATTTAAAATGGTGTTTTATGCTTGCAATTTTGAAAATGATGAATTGTGGCTTTAGTTTTTTCATATGGATGCAGTGTATTTATAAAGAACAAGAAGACAAGATAATAGTAAATGGCTCTCTATCACCATAATGTACCATACTGAAAGGGGATGAGACAAGGTTGTCCCTTCATTTTTATTGGCACTAGTGTCAGATTCAGCCCAGCATGGCCAAGCAGCGGCACTGTTTCAGTTTCACCGCCGCTAGTCAGTTTCACCGGGAAAGGTAAACAGGCAACTGCAGGTCAGTTGCAAATGCAGCAGGTGGCGGCAATTAACCCAGGGCAAGAACAAAGGGAAACAGATACCTTGTAACACAGCCAGCTTCCCCAAACGCCCCAGGCAATGGTAACCACGATACTCAAGGAACTCGGCAATCCAGCAACGATCAACAACCAATTAAAAACCTCCGGTTTTACCCGCAGAAGAAAAGCTCCACGAGCACGGCGATTATGAGACAAAGGAAGCAGGCTGAATCTGCCATTAGGAGAAGGGAGGGGGAACTCAATGGAAGGGTGACCCAAGTATGGGCAGAGGCGGAAGCCAAGGGTACTGCGAGGTCAAGGGGGGAAATCCCATATAAACATTGTAAGGAACGTGCCAAGCCAATCCTGGCTTTGTCTGTAACCGTTACGCATTACACCCGAGTAAAGTAACTTTCGTCAAGGTTTTTATTCAGCGTTGAATGCAGCGATCCTTATAATTAGTGCCATTGGCAATTAATATATTTCAAGAAAATAATATTTCAGGAGTTAAACTAGCAACTCAAGAACACAACTTATATACTGGTGATGTTGTACTCAGAGTTACTCAAAGATTCTTGTACTGTTGACGCAATATATGCAGCAGTATGGTTCTGTATTGGGTTATTGGATCAATAAGATAAATTCCAAATATTGGCAAGAGGAAAAGCAATGCCTGCATCTAATAACAGGTTTAACCCTAACACTAGGAATTTGTTTGAAAAAAAAAAAGAGGATTTATTTTAAAATAATTATTCACAGATCTAGAAAAAATACAATAGTAGTTATCTCCAGAAGGAAAAAACAAAATTGTCTTGGTTAGGAAGTATTGTGGCCATTAAAATAAATATTTTACCAAGACCTAATTTATTGAAAACAAGATATTGTAAGGTTTGCAACCCTAAATCCCAGAGAAATCCAATT